CGTGACGAGACCACATCATCTTCGGGAGGTCTCGAAAGTGAAGATTATAACGACGCAAATTAAGTTGTAATTACTTATTGATTCTGTATTGATTCGAGAAATAAGTTAATAAATTCAAAATTACTTTGGTTTAAAACTGTATTTCATTGATTAAAATTCATTCATAAGGAAGGGATGTAGTGTTTGTATTTATATAATAGATTCAATACACTGTCTCATACACACAAGTAGTGGGGGGTAGCACGTTACTCGGTGATTGTACAGAGTTCCAGCAGTCAGTTGCGTTGTGGAGCGAACCGAGGTAGGACGTGTACCTAAGGAGACTTGGTGTGATAGTGAGCCAGTGTTACGTATTGTAAATATTATACTATATAAGTTCTACAATACTTGTCGATGTTCTTTTTTTACCCATATTTGTTCACAACAACCCTACCTCGAACTAGAACCTAGACTAGAATTATGGCTAAAAAGCACAAAAATTATGAATTGACGTCCGAAATAAAATGATTATCTATATTCTAAACACTTCACAGACGACTGTGTTATTGGACATGAGAAATGCAACACTTAGAAAAAGTACAGTATACTGTATACCACGGAATTTTCTTTTAGTACCAGTACCAGTTAGTATAAAAGTCTAATACTTTATACTTATTACTTATTATTTTGAATATTTTTTATTTCTTCTCTCTTTATTTTCCCCCAGACTAAAGGGCCACAGCCAAGTGTAGAAAGGTCGCCTGATGATAGCTTTGTGTTTACAGGACGTAAATTTGTTAATTCTGTATAATTATTATGACCAATCTAATGTATCAAGGGAATATTGGCACTGCAAAATTATTAATGTTCTTAGTGAGTTTGCGTGAGTTTAGTTGAGAAGTAACTCCTCCCTGCACGGATTCCCGCCTTGACGTGGCGGGAGGAGGGGTGGGTTAGTAGCCGTGGCTTGGTAACCCATGGTAAATGTAGGGCGACTCACATGGCTGGCCCGAAGTGAAGGGCTGGCCCAAGGTGGCTACTCTGAGTAGGCTTGTCCAGCCCTTGGAAGTGTGTTACTGAGATGCGGCTAGAGGAAAGTCTTCTCTCTATATCGCTGCAGCCGAGGTGGTGTCGCTAAAGAAGAGGATTGTTGGTATGGTAATGCGTCACTCGACTATCCTCCGCGACTTTGGTGGGACTGTACCACTTGGTGCTTCCGAGTGCTCGTTTTTTCTTGGCTCCATGGCCTCCACATATCGGGCTCGGGAAGTCGGGAGGGAAGTCCTCAACTAAGGAGGAGTCCTCGCTGGTGGGGCCGCGGATGTGCTTGAAAGCGTTTCCGTGGCCCTGTCAATGTGTGGTGAAGGTGAAACATTATGGGGTTTTAGTAGGTGCAAGTCCGACATAATCATTCTTGCCCCCGCAATGCTGGTATGCGTAGGCATTTTCTCATTTGACACCCGAAACAAAATCTGTTCTGTAGTTACGAATAAAAACGTTGATAGATCAACGCAGCGTCAGCGTCAGATTCTTGTTTTATATGAAGTATAAAGCTTGCGTCTAAGGCCTAGGTATTAATTGATACATTTATTATTGTATGGCATTATATTAATATGATACATTGTGATATAGGAAGTGTGTCAATGAGGAGAGGCGTGTTGACGCTTCTATAACTTTAGACTGTTTTTATTCTACCTTAACACTAATATATATAGTCGTGGGGGCTATACTACACTACACCTCCCACAGACAAAAAAAAGAAAAATAAAGTTATCTATTGTTTATCAAACAACAAAACTATTCTAAACATAATTGATGAATAATCTTAATTTAAATATAGTGTAAATTAATTCTAAATGTTATAAAAACTACAATCTAATGTATACCGAGATTGAGCAGGGCGTTTTGGCAAAGCTCTCTCGCTAGTAAAAATCGCGTATTCACAGAAGTATATGACATAGTCAGGCATAATTATGTATAACATAATAGAATATAATATTATTATGTTTTGATTTTCGCAAACATTTATGTTATTTTTTATTCGTATCCTTAATCATCAAGGCAAGTCGTCTAGTTAGGACATTTAATAATACATAGTACTCATTTCATTTTCATATTTCTTTTCACACTTCAATACTTCTCTTTGTTCCCTTTTTTACTTCATATATTTACTTCATTCTTGTTTAACAATTATTTATTTTTCATTTTACTTCTTAGCATTTTGCTCGCGCACCGCCACGGCCTGCAAAACTTGTTGAAAATAATATAAATATCGTAGATAGAGTATTGACTTAAGATACTATGTCTATGATAAATATTCCCGGACTACACGGAATATATACCCGGATGTGACGATAAAAATAAATAAATACGAATACAAGAAGAGGCCACAATAATAATTTTACAGAAGCTGACTGAAATATAAAAAGTATAATGAACATGAAGTAATATAATTTAAATGTATAATAGTACCTACTACGAAAGCAACTAACAAAGAATGAGGAAAATAAAAAGTGATTTTTCTTTAAGATAATTACCAAACAACAAAATTCAAGAAACGGCAGGTTTATTTGAAAAGGAAAGCAGCGGTTGTACTCTTGCAAGCTTCGTCCAGAAGAACAAAGAAGAACTTAAGAGGTAACTTCGCACCTGTGTGATTTTAATTCCATTTAAAACTTTATTTATCAATTTGAGATTGTTTTTATATTATTTTTTTTTTGCTATAATATTTGTTGAAGTTAAGTATTAAATATTCTATATTTAATATTATTTTTATTTACTATTTACATATATAAAAAATGTAATAATACAATATCAAAAAAGCACATTACATTTTAGGCACTTATGGCATTTGTATTAAGGCACAAGACAATTTTATATTAAAAGAGATGTTTGATTTTGGGCTAACACTATGTACACTATGTAGATAAATAAGAAAAAATTGAGGAATTTCATAAAAATACTATTAAATTAATCTGAAAAAGGTTATAGGCGTACAAAAATGATTATTTGATAAGGTTTTTGTTATAATAACCCTATTTTAAAGGCAGCCATGACAGTTGTTCGACATGACGTTTGACTACTTTTACAGTTTTAAGAAATGACTTTAAGTGACGTCTTTGAGTCTTTCCTTGCATTAGGAGTGGGCTGTAACAGGTAAAAAATATTTGCTCTACCTGTTCCATATCCAAATAAATAACAGTTCCTAAAACCTGTTACAAAATTGCAGTCTGTTACTACAGTCTTGGTAGGTAGTTAATTCTCTTTCTAACTAAGGTGTTGAGCCTATGCGAGAAAAGGGCAGGGCTTGTGACAACTGTAACAGGGTTCCACAGTGTAACAGTAACACATCATTTTTTATCTTATTCTAATAAAGGTAACTGTCATAATATGTATGAATATAGCAAAGATTGTGACTGTTGTATAATGAATTTTATTATCTCGCGAAACAGGAGCTATTCTTTCAGTTTGTAACAGTGACAGGTTGCTGTTTTAAGATACTTCCATAAGGTACTTCTCTTTCAAACTAAGGTGTTGAACCTATGCGAGAAAAGGTCAGAGCTTGTGACAAATGTAACAGGGTTCCACAGTGTAACAGTAACACATCATTTTTTATCTTATTCTAATAAAGGTAACTGTCATAATATGTATGAATATAGCAAAGATTGTGACTGTTGTATAATGAATTTTATTATCTCGCGAAACAGGAGCTATTCTTTCAGTTTGTAACAGTGACAGGCTGCTGTTTTAAGATACTTCCATAAGGTACTTCTCTTTCAAACTAAGGTGTTGAACCTATGCGAGAAAAGGTCAGAGCTTGTGACAACTGTAACACGGTGTCACAATGCAATAGTAACATTTTTTTTATTTTATTCTAATAAAGGTAGCTCATAATATGTATGAATAAAAAAAAGCTTGTGACTGTTGTATATTGAATTTTGTTATCTCGCGAAACAGGAGCTGATCTTTTAGTTTGTCACAGTGACAGGTTGTTATTTTAAGATACTTCCTTAGGTACTTCTCTTTCTATCTAAGGTGTTGAATCTATGCGAGAAAAGGAAAAAGCTTATGACGAGTAACAGGGTATCACAGTAACATTTTTTATCTTATTCTTAGAAAGGTAACTGTCGTATGTAAGAATAAAGAAAAACTTGTGACTGTACTTGGAACAGAAGCTGTTATTTCATTTTATTTGTCACAGTTATAGTCTGCTATTTTAAAATACCTGTTTTTTATATGTTACGATAAATACGCATCATTCACTCTATTCTCACTCCTACCATAGATAAATATATATGTGACTCCTACTTTGCTTTGAGTTAGAATTGGACGTGTTTCGGAGTTTTTAGTGATTGTTTTTGTTGACCCAGTTTACTACTATGGACATTGATTGATTACTTCTCTGTTGACCCCGGCTTTGTTATATGGTTTCTGATTCGCCTGTGATTTGGATTCCGTCGTGTGTTATTTTACAATAACAAGTTCAGTTTCAGGTAGGGTTGCCAGATGGTCGGGATTCGTCTGGATTCTCCCGACATTTTAAATGATCTCCCGACTCCCGACAAAACTCAATACCTCCAGACAAACAGCTCCTCGAAATGTTCTATACAAAATAATAATGTAAAATTGAAATGCAACCAAAACGAAATTAAAAATGTCGTCAATTCTTGTAAGCAATGCTTATTGTGAAAGGGTATTAAGTTTACTAAATAATTTATATACTAAAGAGAGAAATCGTATGGCTATTGATTTAATAAAGCTGGGTTACTAATAAGAATGAACTTTGAGGAAAATTGTTTAAAATTTAAATCTTTTCTGAATACCACTAAAGCATTGCTTTTCAAACTGGGGGGCGCGCCCTCCTAGTGGGGCGTGACAACATGTAAAGGGGGGCGCAGAGCCGCGGGACAAACGCATACCACCACCCCCGCCAGTCGGTCAGTATTGTTCGCCTTATAAACATTACACGTGTTTTTTTTTTGTCGCAAAAATAAAGTTAAGTTTATACCTTTTGTTTCGTCATGAGTTCGGCCAAAAAACGTAAATATAATGATGATTATATTAAATACGGTTTTGTTGTTATAAAAAAAGGTGATATCGATCATCCGCAGTGTGTTATTTGTTATGAGGTATTGAGCAATGACGCCATGAGACCCTCTCGTCTGGAACGACATTTGTCAACAAAACATAGCAGTTTAAAGGACAAGCCGAAGGAGTTTTTTGCATCAAAATCTGCGAGCTTGAAACGTATGAAATTGGATAGTACTGGATTTTTTGCGAAATCGTCCGAGAAAGTGCTTCAAGCTTCTTATGAACTATCGCTTATCAACGCAAAGGCAAAGAAAAGTCATACTATCGGAGAATCACTTATTAAACCTTGCTTGTTAAAAGCAGCTAATATCATTCTGGGACCAGAAATTAAACAAAAATTTTCGCAGATACCCCTCTCTGACAATACTGTCAAACGTCGCATTGATGATATGGCTGAAGATATAAAAAAACAAGTAGTAGAGGCCGTGAAAGAATCAACATTTTATGCAATACAGTTGGATGAGAGTACCGATATAGCACAATGTTGTCAACTTTTAGTTTTCGTTCGATACATGCAAAACGAAACAATAAAAGAGGAATTGTTGTTTTCTACAGAATTAACGACTACCACAAAAGCGATTGATATAATGACAGCAGTTTCTGATTTTTTTGCGAAACACGAAATGTCGTGGCAAAAGTTAATGGGTGTTTGCACAGATGGTGCACCGACAATGCTTGGGTCTCGCTCAGGTTTCGTACAATTGGTGAGAGAAAAAAATCCTAATGTTATTGCTATTCACTGTTTCATACACCGTCAAGCCCTGGCGGCCAAGACACTTTCAAATGAATTCAACGCTATTTTAACATTATGCATAAAAATTATCAATTATGTTAAAAAGAGTGCTTTGAATACTAGACTTTTTACGGCTCTTTGTGAAGATTTGGGTACAGAACATAAGACTCTGTTATTTCATACTGAGGTGCGCTGGCTCTCAAAAGGAAATATGCTGACTAGGTTATATGAGCTTCGAGATGAAGTTATTCAGTTATTGGATAATCAAAAACAAAGTGAATTATTTGTAGAATTCAGAAAGCCAAAAGTTCAAGTGGTATTTGCTTATTTAACGGATATGTTCGATTCATTAAACTCATTAAACTTAAAACTGCAAGGAGGAGATTCAAATATAATTAATCACCGAGATGCTATCACAGTGTTTACTGAGAAGTTGCTATTGTGGAAACGTAAGATTTTAGCAGACAATTATTCGTGCTTTCCTAAATTATATGCAATCACAGAAGACAAATGTTTTATGGAGTTTTTTTGCGAATCCGACACTAAGACCGAAATATCCAACCACTTGCAGCACCTCAGTGATGAATTCAAGCGCTACTTCCCAAACTTGTGTGATGACAATATTTATCGATTGGCGACGGATCCTTTTCACGTTGACATAGACGTGCTGCCAGAGCTACTTCAAGAACAAGCTTTAGAAATAAAAAATGATTCAGCTGCCAAATATGATTTTGAGAAGATGGATAAGCCATTATTTTGGGTAAAATATCTCAAAGTTTATCCCAATATAGCAGAAGAATCACTGAAACTTTTTTTACCATTTTCGAGTACTTATTTATGCGAAAAGGCATTTTCAGCAGTAGTGGTCATAAAAACCAAATACAGAAACAAACTCGATATCACTAGTGATCTACGTTGTGCTCTTTCTTCTATTCAACCCAGAATTGAAAACATTGTTAAAAATATGCAAGCCCATCCATCTCACTGACCGTGACGATTATGTATTTCTTTGTTTTTCTTGTCACAACAATATTAATAAAAATATTTGATTATGGTTTTTTACCCCTGTTTATTATTCATTATCCTTTTACTTTAAAACTAGCCTTTTCCCGAGGCATTGCTCGCGTTAATATAGATTTTGTCAATCATTTTCTATCTTACGGGAACAATACTTTTTTTATATATAAAAGGTACCTTATGTCCTATCCTATACCCCCGAAATGTTGAGTAGTTAATGACAGTGTAAAAAACGACACAAACTCACTTTATTAGTTCGATTGGGATACTTAGCTAGCCCATTGATTTCCTCTTCCTTGCATCGAAGTGAAGGGGGGCGTGGGCATTTCTATTTTAGGCAGCAGGGTGGCGTGTAGAAAAATACTTTGGGAACCCCTGCACTAAAGGATCCAAATTGGTGGATTCAGTAAAGTCTAATACCAAATGCCTGTGGCAACCTCAAAATTAAGTGTAGTTACATTAATTATCTGTCAACAATGTTAAGTATATTTGTATTGTAGCCCATTAATTTAAAAAATAATATTTTTGTTTTACATTTTTATTTTTAACATTTATTTCTCCCGACAAGAACCCCAAAATCCCGACATTTTCAAATTTTGTCCAGATATTTTGGTCTTCCGATCTGGCAACCCTAGTATCAGGTATGTCCCTTACCTGTGCATTTACTTGTTGTTTTGTTCAAATGCTATTTCTATGTAATGTTTTCTACCCTTGTTTTATATTCTAACATATTTAATTCATACTTATTCCAGTCTATTGACAATGACGTGCCTACAGTGCACCTCTGTAATAGATAAAAATGAACAATATTATGCTGCTGATGTTATGGGTCCCGAAATAATTTTCGTCATCGAGCGGTCATCTTGTAAGAAACATTTATTTATCTATATATGTAACATATCTATAAACATTGGATAACCTCTTTGTTTTCTTTTGTTTTAGGTTGATGGAAATGGAGTGATGTGCTCACAATGCTTTGCTATCATAATGCAAGAAGTGTCTAATGATAGTGCTTTGGCACACGGAGATCACGAACTTCAGCATTGCCATGATAGCAATGTTTGTGTTAGGTGTAGAACATCTTTGTTTAGACATGCTCACTCTATTCCCGAGGGTGCCGAAAGGCTATATATTGCTGGAACGATTGCTCCAAGAGAAGTAAGCACCTCTTTTGTTTTATTTTTTATTCACACAAGGCAGGCAAATGCAGATGTTTCTTAATTATGGTCCAAGACAACATTGTTTAAGGAAGAAAAGAATAGTCACAGTTTAAGTTTTGGAAATGTGTGTCTGTAAAGGTGATATTGAAATAATTCATACGTGGTAGAGCCATGCTGCAGCTATATTAGTAGTATAGTTGTAGCAGAAATGGGTCGGCTCGACTGGGGAAGGACCACGCTCTCAGAATACCAATGTAATAGCAGCTTGACACTGTTGTTTCGTATGGTGAGTGTAGAGAACCGGAGACCCATTTTACTGGAAAAGAGGCATTCCATGTTAATCATCTGCATTTGCATTTTGATTCTTTATTGAGGATAAATGTAGATGTCTATGGGTCACAGCAACCACTTATCATCAGGTAAACTTTGTGCTTGTTTGTCACCATACTAACTAAATCTTGATTAATTTAAATTATTTAGAAATGTATAAATAAATAAATCTTAATTTTGTTTATTTTTTGTTTTAGATACCCGATGGTGCCTTAATATGTTTTGCTTGTTGGGTACAAACTCGGCTTACAATACAACAACAAGGAATCATAGCAGCTCCTACTGTTGTTATGAATAACAAGGCATGTGTATGGTGCCGACGGTCTCTTGCTCAGACACGCAGCCACTCCATACCTGAAGTACCTGAACGGACCATAATATCAGAAACAATATATCCAAGAGAGGTAACATTAACAACTTAATTAATTACCTACTGTTGGAATTAAATAATTGTGAATAGCCAATACATATTGTATTCTTTTCTTTTATTCAGATTCCACCAGGAGGACTGGTTTGCTGTTTGTTGGGTAGCAGCACGTAGAAATGTGGAACATGCTACAAGGATTGAGGATAATCGGCAAATTCCAGCCCCATCTTACCTTCACCAAGATTCTATGTGTGCATGGTGTAGATAGTCACTACACCGAAGACACACACGTGGCTAGTGGTCCTGTGAGAGATGAAGTTGCCGCAAGAATTTACCCCAATGAGGTTCAATTATTTTAATTTACAAAAGCACCATACACAAGTAATGTTACTGTGCATTCAACTATAAGTAACCATTTCTGTTGCCCCTGTAAGTAACTCGTTTCTTGTATTGTTTCAGTTACCAGCACATGCACTTCTTTGTTCCAACTGCTGGACACGTACGCAGGAAAATATAGGAATGGAGCAAGAAGTGGTGCAACAATTTGATATGTAGCCACCAATTGCATCAATAACACTTGATGGTTTTGCTCACACAACACACAGACAAGTACGGCTTGTAACAATGTAGAACGAAATAGAGTGCCGGAATACTTAAGAAAAATTATATTAAAATCGGAAAAAATATTTGTGACAGAAAATGTGAGAGTATGTGATGAACATAAATGTTTATACAACTGGGAGTTTCTGGACCAGCATCAGTTCTTTAATACATTCACAAAAAATGAGATAGAGTCAATGCTGAGGCTGAGTGTCCAGGACAATGAAATTAATCAATTAGATTTTAATAATATGAGTAGTATTGATGAGGGACTTTTTAAGTTCTGGACTGGAGTCACAAAAGACAATTTTATGAATATTTTAAATGTAATAAGCCCAGCATTGAATTGCAATAACCCAAAAACTGCTTTGGGAATCTATTTAGTAAAAGCTCGTACAGGGGACTCTCATGAAAGAATTGCCTCTCTGTTTCATCTGACCATAACACGATTACTTCAAGTAGTTAGAGAGGCATTGCTAAGGTTATTTGTGCCTCTCCACTTAGGAATCAATCATACAAGAAATGATTTAATTAATAGGAATTTATTAATACCCGAGGGCTTGTTTGGAAACAGAGAGGCAAAAGTACCAATAATAATATGTGATGGTACCTATATATATACCTTCAAAAATCATCCAACTACATGTTCCAAAAAAAAAAACTTATAGCTTGTACAAATATAGAAACCTTGTTAAACCTTTTCTCATTGTTGCCACTGATGGTTACATTATTGATATTTTGGGGCCGTACCCAGCAACTAATTCAGATGCTGACATCATGAAAGCTTTGTTCCAAAATGACAATGAGGGTCTAAGGGCCTTTTTTCAGCCCAATGACGTTTTCATTTTGGATCGAGGCTTTCGTGATTCCATTCCAATGCTAGAGGGGTTGGGCTTCAAAGTATTTAAACCGGAGTCCTTAGAACAAGGAGAAACTCAATTATCAACCATCAATGCAAACAAGACAAGGTGTGTGACACTATGGAGATGGGTGGTAGAGGTAGTTAATGGTCGATTTAAAAGAGACTTTAAGTTACTGAGATGTGAATATTTTAATTTGGCTGCCACCCATTTGATGGACGATGTCCGTATTTGTGCAGCTATAATTAATGCCTTCCATCCAGTGATTGAAAATAGACCAGATGCTGATGCTATACTTACTCGAGCAATACAGAGAAAAAATATGCCCATCCGGTTAGCAGAACTTATAATTGCTAACCGGATCAACCGCTTCAGAGCCCAATTCACAAGAATTGATGGTCAACTTCCAGTGTTAAGTATTTTCCCTGAAATGACTGTCTACCTTGATACTTTTTGGGCTGGGTACCTTTCAAATAAAACAGGCTACAAGCTATTTCGGGGAACATATAAGGCAGCATGGATCATTTCAGGTAGAAGTATCGGACCAACTGGAAGTAGTAGCAGAAGCAACCCCATCCCAACTTGATCCTCTTTTAATCAGAGGCCCTCAGATTATAAAAATAGACAGATGGAGCGCGTAGAACACGAGAGTGAAGCCACGGAAGCAAATACAAATTCAGAAGCGAATACAATCTCGCGTCAGTACTAAACTACGCGTCGTACTGCTTACACGTCACAAGTGATTTATTATTTTATGTTAAAACATGCCGTCTTGTGTTTTTAAACATTGTAAAAGTTGTTCCCAAAAACAAAGAAAAGAAGATGGAGTATCTTTCCACAGGTAACTATTGCTTATTTTAATGGTTTGTTATTTATGTTCCCTCTAATATATTTGGCTCTCTCGGAACACAAAATATTGTCAACAATTGGTGTGTGTTGCCAGTTTACATCGAAATAGGTCTCCTTGAATTAGGGGAATGTGCATTGGACATAGGAGGATTGATTAATTTATACATTTATATACGGAAATAACTTATGTATATATATTATATCTTTGTTCGAAAATCTTGTTATTTATTTTAACCCACCAATTAGTGCTATGTTTTTCAATTTTGAGATTTTCTATCGGCCGCTCTATTTTATTGTTATATACAATAATTTGACTTATGCTTATATACTACGCGATGAATGGGTTACTATTATTCGTCAAAGTAGGCAGGATAATAATTGGATGCCTTCAAAATTTTGTGTTGTATGCTCATTGCATTTTAAAGAGGATGATGTATACTTTACCGAAAAAGGTCGTCGATTGATTAACAAAAGTGCAAAACCGACCAAAAATTTATGCGCGTTGCCGCCATCACCGGAAAAACCAAGTTTGGACCAAGTTGGTCCTTCAAACTTACTCGAAGCTAGTCAACTACCCGAAAAATCTATTAAAGATAATTCTGTATTACCTGAATTTAGAGATTCGGACCTGGACTCTATATTCGATACACCTAGAAAAAGTCAATTAAGAAAAGATTTAAGAAAACATAAGTTGTTGCGAGTTGCTACTAAACATAAGTTAAAAACATTACAACAAAAAAATCGACGACTAAAAAAAAAGAATGATTCACTAAAGAATATTTTAAAGGATTTAAAAGATAAAAACTTTATAAATTGCGACACTCATAGCTTGTTAAGTGAGAATATTATAGCCACTGAATTTTTTCATAATTTACACATGCGAAGCTCCGGTAAAAAATAATTAAATATTCCCCGGCCATCAGAAAATTTTGCTTATCTTTAAATTTTTACTCTCCAAAGGGCTATGATTACGTCAGAAAAGCCTTCAATAGTTGCCTGCCTCATCCTAAAACGTTGACAAAATGGTATACCCACATTAAAAGCGAACCTGGATTTACCCAAGAAGCATTCACAGCGTTGCAAAAAATGGCAGAAGCTTCTCCTCATAAACTTATTTGCGCAATTATGTTTGATGAAATGGCGTTGCGCCAGCAGAAGCTATGGGATGGTAAACGGTACATAGGGGTTGTCGATATGGGCGATGAATTAACAGAGTCTACAACTTTGGCATCTCAAGCATTTGTATTTATGTTAGTAGGAATAAACCAGCGATTCAAGATACCTTTGGGATACTTTTTGACAAACAATTTGACTGGGGAACAGAAATCTAATTTAGTTAAACTATGTCTCATGAAATGTCACGAAGCTGGAGTCAAAGTTGTATCACTAACATTCGATGGGCATGCTACAAATTTTACTACCATGGAGCTACTTGGTTGTAATATAACTGATACTGAAAATATGAAAACAACATTTAAGCACCCCTCAGATGCTAGCGAAGTTGCATGCTTTTTAGATCCCAGTCATGTAATAAAATTACTTCGGAACCAGCTAGAAGCAAAAAAAGAATTCTTAAATAAAAATGAAGAAATTGTAGACTGGAACTTTTTAGCTAAACTAAACCAGTTGCAAGAAGATGAGGGCCTACACTTGGCAAATAAACTTTCTAGAAAACACATTTCCTTCAGAAACCAAATTATGAAGGTAAAGCTTGCTACACAGACGCTAAGCAGGAGTGTTGCGAAAGCACTGCAGTTTTGTAGAACTGATCTAAATCTTCCAGATTTTAAACGTTCGCAACCCACTGAAGAATTTGTTCAATTAATGAATGACATGTTTGATATTTTTAACTCACTAACTATGGCCCATTTCGATTACAGAAAACCTATATATAAAGGAAATAAAACTGAAATTTATGCACTTTTGGACCGGCTTCAGGATTACATACAAAAATTGCAAATAAAAAGTGTCACCAAAAGAAAAGTTATTAAAGACCGTCGACCAACGTACGTTATAACGCGATTTTATAAGAGAGTTGTGGAAACAAGATGCAAACCTGGTTTTATGGGAACGTTGATAAATATATCAAGTTTAAAGTCACTTTATGAGCGTCTGATAGAAAAAGAAAAATGTATGGTGTTTTTACCTACTTATAAACTTAGCCAACATCATCTTGAAATATTTTTTGGCTGCGTCAGAATGCATGGGGGCCATAATGATAATCCAAACGTGAAACAATTTAAAGCCATATATCGAAAATTGTTAATGCATTTAGAAATGAGAAGTCTAGAAACTGGAAATTGCATTCCGCTGGAGAATATCGCAATATTGACGTGTACTTCCGCTACACAAATTATTAATTTAACAACTTCATCGTACCGACAAGAAGACACTGATAACTCTGAAAGTGTTTCTTTAAGTTTTCTAAAGGACTTGCCAACAGATGTCAACAATTTAGCACAGTATTTAGATGTGCCAGTTTTTAATGACATGAAAAAAATGATTGTTGGATATATTGCTGGATGTGTCATACGGTACGTCAGAAAAGAAATCAAATGTGAATCTTGCTTGACACATTTGGTATCTATGGAAAAACAAGATTTTCACAAATTGATTGGCTTGAGAGATAGAGGAGGTTTAATTTTTCCTTCCATAGACACTTATAAAGTTTGTACAGCGGTTGAAATTGTAATACGAAAAATTTTAAAAGAAAACGTTGTAATAAAAACAAAAAATTATTATAGGCATGTATCTTCACGGGTTCTAAAGAGTTTTATTGGCAACCAAACGATTTTTATGAATCTGGAGAATGATCATCAATGTTATGGAGTTGATCACAAAATTAATCTGGTAAAATTATTAATAGAAAAGTATTTAATGGTTCGATTGCACTATATAGCAAAATTAGAAACGAATGCTCGATGTTTAGACGCTAAACGGCAATATTATAAGAAATTAGTGCAAAACAAAGGCTGTTAAGATTTTAGGTGTGTAAAATAATTGTTTATTACAATTATTTTTTACACCTAACTTTAACTTTAACTGTTGTAATTGAATTACTTATGTTTTTCAGTTATAATATACCTATTATATGATAATAGAGAAATGTCCAAAAAGTGTTATAAAGTATTTTTATTGTCTGATATAAATTAATAAAATCAATTAAATGTAATTAATTATGCGTATTTAACTTTTATTGAATCATTAATTATTTGAAAATAATTATTCTGTCCAAATACTACTTAATAACCTATAAAGCAAATGCACATTTTTATTTTGGAGTTGGGAAATTGGGAGTTTTTTCTCAATATCTGGTAACTTTACACACGCATAGGTGCACGTGTCCCTACAATGCCGCTCCTAGCTGTCACGCACACTTAAATAATAAGTGGCATCACATCGTTTGTTGCGCATGTTCTATCTGTCTATTTCTATAATCTGAGGTAGTACCCATACTAATTTTGCATTTTGCAATTTTGCATTGCATCGCAACCGTAAAGGAGTACATTAACGGTGTTAACGTAATTTTTGGAACGAGCTTCAGTGAACATCTTCAGTAAGCAGTGTAGTATCACATAACAACACAAGATTACAATTTAATAATTTGTTGTCATCGCCATTACAAGCCGCAGAATTGCATCGATCCGATTGGCTTATCGTGGGCTTATCGTCGAAGCGGGAAATTCAAATCTGGACTTCACTTCGACATACATTGCTGCGTGTCATCGGGGATTCGACGTACATTGCTGCTCCTGCGTAATAAGTATACATTGCGGCATGTTGAAAAAACATGTAGACGTACATTGCTGTTTTTGGTAATTCATTGCGTTTTTGTTTTTTTTTTTTATACAAAAAATAATCTTCGTGTCGATCTTATCATTCATTCTAAATATTTCACGTTAATTTTAATCTTAAATAAGATAATATATTACACACATATAAATATATAAATAATTAAAATTAATTAAGTTCTTACAAAAATTGTTTTTGGTAGATAATTTAATTTTTTTTCTGTGTGTTATGTGTAATTTTACATAATTATTGCCATTGCACTGGGTTGACTGAATTTATTTATTTTTTGTAATAGTGTTCAGGTCTCTGTTTTACACATATCAACTGTATTTTATTTTTTTTGTATTGCCATTTTGTGATTTTTATATTTAGATTAAGGGTGTCTATTGTTCTATTCCTATTGTTTATGTATGTAGTCATAAAAACTGAACATCACTCTTCCACACACTTAGCTCCATTAATTTCTTTAAGCAATATTAACTCACTACACAATTATCAGACATTACCATGACAGATAAAGCTGAACCTTCACCGACTGCCGATCCTAATATTGCTCAACAGATGTTTTCTTTAAGACAGAGCTAGAGAGACTCGCTACAGTACTACATTCCACGCAACAGGTGAATGCTCTTCTTCGTGCACAAATCGAAGGTAAGCCTCTAAAAACAGAGGATACTCCCATAAACGAACTTTCCCCTCAAGTTTGTACAGTAGCGCCAAAGGTACCTCTCTTTTGGCATCAGAAACCTGCCTTGTGGTTCGCACACATTGAAACCCAATTTCGTGTAGCGGGAATCACAGGGGACCAGACCATGTACGACCATGTCATTGGTCAACTGGATTTTAGGATTACAGCTGAGATTGAGGACATCGTTACAAATCCACCTAGGACTAACAAGTATGAACACCTAAAAACGGAAATCATACGTCGTTTATCACAATCTGAAGAAGTACGTGTTCGACAGCTTCTGAACGATGAGGAATTAGGCGATCGTAAGCCATCCCAATTCTTAAGACACTTACGTTCTCTAGCTGGGAGCACACTCACGGAGGAGAGCATTTTGCGTCAACTTTTCATGCGCCGCCTGCCACAACATCTTCAGGCAATCCTTGCTGCAAGTGCTGACCCACTTGATGATATTGCAATTCGAGCGGACAAAATTCTCGAAGTAGCTCCTAGCCTTGCATCATCTTCGAGCCCGTTTGTACATGCAACTTCTGCATCTTCTTCAGGTCCTACATTTGACCTATGTGCTCTTGCTGCTCAGGTACAACAGCTGTCTGCAACAGTTGCAGCGCTTACTCGAACTCGAGAAAATCATCGTAGTCGAAGTAGAAGCAAGTCTAGGAACCGCACACAATCTGATGGTAAGTTATGCTGGTACCATTGGACGTTTAAAGAAAAGGCAAGCAAGTTCGTTAGTCCTTGTTCATGGCAAGCGGAAAACTGCCAAGCCAGTCAGTAGCGACGGCAACTGATTGTGCTAAACCAGGCCGTCGCTTGTTTTTAACGGACAAAACCAGCAAGGTCAGGTTTTTAATAGACACAGGATCTGACCTATGCTGCTATCCTCGTAGGTTGCTGGGTGGTCGAGCATCTCCTACCAAGTATCAACTCAGTGCAGCCAACGGCAGCACCATTAAGACATATGGTAGCGTATCGCTAAAACTTAACTTTGGGTTGCGGCGAGATTTCCACTGGCAATTCGTAGTGGCGGACGTCAGCACTCCCATTATAGGTTCGGATTTTCTTGCGCATTACCATCTACTGCCCGACTGCCGCAATAAAAACGTTCTGGATGGAATAACCGGCCTTTCTGTTTCTGCATCCCTTGCCACTACGGAACAGGTTAGCGTAAAAACAATTACAGTCGATGCGGAATCATGGTTCAATAAAATTCTCGCCGAATTTCCATGTATAATACGGCCTCCAGGACTTCACAGAGACATTAAACACTCAACGGTACATTACATTAAAACGACAGTTGGCCCACCAGTGTCATGTCGGCCACGTCGCCTCGCACCGCATGAGCTGGTGATTGCTAAACGTGAGTTCGATGAGATGCTGGGTAACGGCACCGCAAGACCATCCAAAAGTCCGTGGGCTTCTCCACTGCAATTGGTGCCCAAGAAGGATCTGGTTTCTTGGCGAACATGCGGTGATTATCGTTGCTTAAATGCGCGAACCATCCCAGACCGCTATCCGTTGCGTCATATCGGGGATTTTAGTAATAACATCGCTAGATCTACTGTCTTCAGTACGCTTGATCTGATAAGAGCTTACCAACAGATACCAGTCAACGACGAAGACGTATGTAAAACGGCGATCACGACTCCTTTTGGATTATTTGAATTCCCGTATATGACCTTCGGATTGCGCAATGCGGGACAAACGTTCCAACGCTTTATGGATGAGGTTTTGGGTGATTTGGATTTTTGTTTTCCGTATATCGATGATATACTCATATTTTCCCGCAATGAAGAAGAACACGCTTGTCATCTTCGCATTCTCTTTCAGAGGCTAGCCGATTACGGCATTGTCGTAAATCCTGCTAAGTGCGTACTGGGAGTAGACAGTGTCATCTTTTTAGGATACCGCGTTTCTAAAGACGGTATAAGTTCTCCGCCTGAACGGATAGCCGCATTACAGGAGTACCCTCTCCCTAAGACAGTGCAGGGTCTTCGTAGGTTCCTGGGTATGATCAATTATTACAGACGATGTTTAGCACGTGCGGCTGAGTTGCAAGCGCCGTTGATAAACATATTGACTGATACAAAACTCAAGGGAGCAAAACCGGTACCTTGGACGCCAGAGTTGGAGTGTGCCTTTAATGCTTGTAAGGAAAGTTTGGGACAAGCAACTCTACTCGCATATCCACAGCCTGATGCCTCCTTAGGTCTGTTCACAGACGCATCAAGTGTCCAAGTAGGTGCTTGTCTGCAGCAACGTGTAGGTAATGAATGGCAACCCCTTGCTTTTTTTTAGTAAAAAGCTAACTGCTCGTCAATCAACCTGGCCTGCATATTATAGAGAACTTTTAGCCATATACGAATCCGTGCAACACTTTAGACATATTTTGGAAGTGCAACAGTGTACCATTTTTACAGATCACAAGCTTCTTCTTTACGCTTTTACTCAGCGTCGGGAGAAACTATCTCCGGTACAGTTAAATCAACTTACCTTCATTTCGCAGTTCACGACTGATATTTCACATATTAAAGGTGTGGATAACATTGTGGCTGACACTATGTCGCGAATTGAGGCAATTTCGCTGGAGGATGACTTCACCGACCTAGCTTTGTCGCAAAGAGACGATGAGGAACTACAAAAACTTATTAGTGACGGCACTTCTCTTAAACTAGAGAAGGTTTTGTTGCCTGGGACTGATATCACAATATTTTGTGACACTTCCACGGGTCAGCCACGTCCTTTCCTTACCGCTCCTTTCCGTCGGAAATACTTTGATAAACTCCACAATTTGAGTCATCCAGGTCTCCGTGCAACATCTCGTCTTCTCACAAAAAGGTTTGTTTGGCCTTCTATCCAGAAGGATGTTCGCGATGGGACTAAGACGTGTCTCTCATGCCAACGTAATAAGGTCACCAGGCACGTTGTCACTCCTTTAGCTAATTTCGCTGCACCTGCTGGCCGCTTCAGGCACGTTCATGTTGATATTGTAGGTCCTCTTCCCGTCTGCGAAGGCTATCGCTATCTTTTGACGGCTGTAGATCGATTCACACGATGGCCTGAAGCGTGGCCAATGCGCGGTATCACCGCCGAGGAGACGGCTGAAACCTTGATGACTGGCTGGATATCGAGATTTGGTGTCCCTTCTCGTATCACTACAGATCAGGGTCACCAGTTTGAGTCCGACTTATTTCGCAAACTTATGACACTTTTAGGCACTAAAAAGCTACGAACGACTAGTTATCATCCGTGTGCGAATGGTATGGTCGAACGCCTGCATAGGCAGCTTAAGGCTTCCCTGATGTGTCGCATTCATAGGGGGGTATTTGCCATAGTTGCCACGCTTGGCGAGCGGGTTGGCAACCGCAGTTTTTTTTTTATTGTTAGTTTGTTGTTATCAAGAAGATGTTGCTGCCCATCTCCTGCCTGTTTCCCTTTGTCGCCTTTTACGACACCCACGGGTGGATATGGGGTAGTGGATATTCTTGACCGCCACTACACGGCACAGTGTGGGTGTAGGGCGTCCCCCCACGAGATGGAGTGACGACCTGGTAAGACATGCAGGAAGTCGATGGATGCAGGTGGCTCAGGATCGTGCTTTGTGGCATTCTTTGGGGGAGGCCTATGTTCAGCTAATGATGATGTGTCGCAACGAGCCCTGGATCAAAGCATTACCTGCTGTACTTCTTGGCATGCGTTCTGTGTTAAAAGAGGATCTCAAGGCTTCAGCAGCCGAACTTGTATACGGAGAGCCCTTACATCTTCCTGGAGAGATGATCGTTCCTTCGTCAGTTTCACAAGTATCTGATCCATTTGATTTTGTCTCACGGCTTAGAATTATGATGTCAGACTTGAGACCTGTACCTGCATCTCAACATTGTAAAAGAAAAGTTTTCCTGTTTAAAGACCTTTCCACCACTTCACACGTGTTCTTGCGAGCAGACCACGTGAAGCCGCCATTGGAATCACCTTACTCAGGACCATTTCAGGTTGTCAGACGATCAGATAAGACTGTCACTATCGTCGTGGGAAACAAGGAAGTCGTCGTGAGTATTGATCGCGTTAAACCCGCATTCATCCTCGGACACACTCCACAATTTACACAATCTCAAAATCCTGATACATTTTTACCCTCTTCAGTTACGAATCAGTTACCTTCACACACACAAAATCCTCTCACTCAAAACACAAGTAATTCTGGCCATGACTCTTTAGCCCCATCACCCAAATACACTACACGCTCAGGTAGACGAGTTAAATTCGCTCGTCCTTTCGATCTTTGATCGATTACCTCTCTCCGTGGGGGGGTGATGTGGCGGCGTTAATTTCTGAACGCACCACTTCAATTAAACACTGTAATGTAGATCTGGCAACATTGAGAGAAATAATTATTAGGACGCAAAATCTGTAGACATATACGAGGTCTCTCAGTGTTTTCCACTCAATTCTTTGTTTTAGTTTAATATTCTTTTAAGATTGTAACGTGTGAAATGTTTAGTATAACTGAGTGATAATAAACCATTATTATTTTACGCATAGTCTTATTGGAGTGAAGATTAAAAGTACTAGGTAAAAGTAAAAGATACTACTACAAATGTAATTGTGAAACATAGTAAAAAAATTATCTCAATTTACTGTAAAACTGTTGGAAAATCTAATGTTCTAATGCCCCAATTAATTGAAGATGCATTCCATAAAATTACACCGGTGTAATAGAAAAATATTTGTAATCATGTGAAAAAAATTGAAAATGAATACAGACTAAAATACGCGTATTTAGATGAAGCCTTTATTATAGAGTGTCAGAGAGATAGCGAAAGCGACTCGAGTGACTCAGAAGATGAATTATTGGAACCAGTAGCTAACGCGGGTGCATCTTTCGAAATAGAAGTTCCTGGAGTTCGGCCGCTTGAACTCCGAGATCACGAATTAATTATTTTTATAAAATATAAATAATATATATAATAACACTAATTCTCACTAATTTTAATATATTAACAAGAAATTTGTTTTATTTTATATTATGTGTAATGAATATGTAGTCACCTATTACCTCGGTGAATTTCTTAAATGGCAATAGTAGCGCTCCACTAGCGGCTCTGTCAACTGAACAGAATAAGTTGGTGGCATTTATGGAGTGTAGAGTAGAAGGAGGACCATCTCTATATATGAAAAGTGTCCCTAAAACGTGTCCAATAAAGGGGGCACCGCAGTAGCATAGGATAAATTTAAAAAAAGCGCCAAAAGTAATTAGAATAAGATGGGGAAATAAACAAGGACCGACCAATCCGTTTGGTTTTGTACTACTAATACTAATACTAATTGAGATTTTGTATACTGGCAGTTTACTAATTACTCTAGTCATGAATTTTTTTAAATATTTGAATTCAGCTGACTTCACTCCGTTTACAACAGCTATCTTCATATCGTAGTTTTTCAGACGCCAGCGCTATTGTGGTAGGTTTTGGAACCTCTATTTTCAGTAAATAGTAGGACACTTTTTCAACTTTCGCCCCTTATAAGATGGTTCTCCTTGTATTCTACACTGCATAGTGGCATTATACACATTTTAGGCTGTCAGGTGGTCACTGACCACTATATATACAAGTACGCTGGACTGGCTATGCCATAGAAAATGCTTATGCCGATTTGAAGCGCCATCATTGCCCGCACCGGGAACTAAAAATGACATATTATGCCAAATATCTCTGTAGTTTGAATTTTTATACTAAAAAATGAAAGTATTTTATGTGGTTTGATTATGTTTGATTTCAGTTATAGCCTTTATCACAAGTAATATTCAACCTTCTTTCGTTATACTAAGGTTTATCTGTAAATACATTTTTAATAAAAATAGCTGCGGTAGTGTTGTGACTACGTCGATATTAAAGTTTTCGATAAAGTTTTATCACAGATCTTTTGTTACGGTTGCTAAGCCAGAGAAGTAAGTAGTTTAGTAATACTAACGACTTTTGGAAAGAAGCTGAAATAAAAATGATCTTAATATCATGATCTACACTTAGTATCTTAATTAATTATCGTCTAAACTTTAATATTAAAGTGTGAAAGTGACAATTTTTAATAAATCTGTGTTTATTTCAATGACAATAAACAAGTGCAAAATTATTGTTTTTTATTATTTTCCTTGTTTCCATTTCATAAATGATAATTTAGCTAACAATCAATAAATTTCCAACAATCAATAATTAATTATATACCGGCTATATAAATTACGGGGATATACGTACATCAAGACAATTTGCAATAAATTTTGCAATTTTACTCATTTTATCATATTTTTTTTTCAATTCTGTTTCTTCAGTCAATGCATTTCACATACATCATAATAATCATATACTGAATATTGATATAAGCCAGATCACTTTCAGGGAGAGTAACTACATCACTAACATCATTCACGTAGCGGTATAGGTTAGGTAGGGCAATGTCAACGTTATATCTATTATCATTATATCTATAATAGTGTGAATTTATTATTGCGACGTCTAAGGCCCGCCACATACATACGGAATTCCGTTTCGGAATTTCGAACGGTCGGCCACACACAAACGGAATCCCGTTTTGCCCGCAAAATATCGAACGGAAAACTACCGTACGTGTGTGGCGGGTCATTGATTTTATATGGACTAGCTGCGTTCGGGATTCCGAATCGGAATCTCGAAACGGAATTCCGTATGTATCTGGCCGGCCTAACGTAAGAAGCTAAAGTTGCTCATTAATTCTAGAAACTTCGTTGGTGAAAAGTAATATATATCTATTTTTAAGAAGCTATGGTTCGTACTCAAGTGAATGGTGAGTAACATAATGCCTTTCTCTTTTATTTTTTAACAGCCAATCACGCAAAAATTATTGAAATGGTACACAATTGTCGGTACGCATTTCTTTCTTGCGTATGTGTGAGTTTGGCGACAGTGGTTCTGCTACAAATTATGCGTTTTGCTACTTCCTCTTGTTTTTTATATTCCGTGGTAATTACCAACATGTTTGCCTTTATTTTTTTTTTTTTATAGGAGAGGGGGCAAACGAGCATGCGGCTCACCTGATGGTAAGTGACTACCGCCGCCCATGAACAACCGCAACACCAGGGGAATTGCAGATGCGTTGCCGGCCTTTTAAAAAGGAGTAGGCTCTTTTCTTGAAGGTCCCTAAGTCGTATCGGTCCGGAAAAATCCCTGGTGGTAAACTATTCCACAAGGAAGTTGTGCGAGGAAGAAAACATCTTCTAAATCGCACAGTGGTGGACCGCCAATCATCCAGATGGTGTGGATGGTATCGGGAGTTCTGCCGCGATGTGCGTTCGTGAAATTTGGCGGCTGGGATTAATCCGAACAATTCCTCAGAGCACTCCCCATGGTAGATGCGAAAGAAAATGCAAAGAGATGCAACATCTCTTCGCAGTGCCAATGAATCGAGCCGATCGGAAAGGGCTCGGTCGTCGACGATTCGAGCCGCTCTGCGCTGGATGCGGTCAAGTGGAAGGAGCTGGCACTGGGGAGCCCCTGCCCAGAGATGGGAACAGTATTCCATGTGAGGCCGAACCTGCGCCTTGTAAAGTTGCAGGCGGTGTGCCGGCATGAAATACTGTCCCGCTCTGCTGAGCACGCCAAGCTTTTTAGAGGCCAATTTGGCCTTCTCTTCCAAGTGACCACGAAACTGCACGTCACTCGATATGTCGACTCCGAGGATACCGATACTGGCTGAGGCAAGAAGGGGAGTGCCTTGAAACTGAGGAGATACGACAAAGGGGTTCTTTTTAGCGGTAAACGCGCAAACTTGTGTCTTCTGAGGATTAAACTGGACTAGATTTAGTCGCCCCCAATCCGAGACTTTGTCCAGCAAAGACTCGACTTCAGACACAAGTTTGTTCCGGTACTCGGCGACGTTTTCCCGAGAAATATTGGCCCGGCCGGTGTATAGAGCATCACCAGTGCTATCATCCGCATAACAATGAATGTTACCAGTTAGCAACATATCATTGATATGCAGAAGAAACAGCGTTGGTGATAGCACACAGCCTTGTGGAACACCAGCGTTAATAGGCTTGTAGTCAGGCTTAGTAGTTTATATTACTAAGTTTTGATAAACAATAAAATTCAATTGGGTTGTTGAGTTCCTTGTCTATAATACTTACGGCGGGACTTACGCAACTTCAATACAGCTTGTATTGAAGAAGCGATCGAGCGGAACCAAGGCTCCAAAGTCTTTGCCAGAGATCTGTCTGCCAGAAAGAGCCAACTGTCAAAGCTGAAGACCGAGTGTGGCAGCATCGTTTCCGGGGCACCTGAGATTTTGAGTGAGATTGAGAGGTTCTATGGACACCTGTACACGTCATCGTTGGAGCCAGACGCAAGTGTGAGTAACGATCCAAGAGCGAGTCTTATCCGAAACTATTCCGAAGATATCCCGGACGTCAGTCTGAGCGAGATTAGAATGGCTCTCCAGCATCTTAAAAACGGCAATGCCCCAGGCGAGGATGGAATTACAGCGGAGCTTCTGAAAGCGGGTGGAAAACCGGTACTGGAAGTCCTTCACAGGCTCTTTAATTCCATCCTCCGTGGTGGTATTACACCGGAGGCGTGGAGCAGAAGTGCGGTGGTCTTGTTCTTCAAGAAAGGTGACAATGCTCTCTTGAAGAACTACAGACCGATTTCCCTTCTGAGCCGCGTCTACGTGCTGTTTTCGAGAGTCATTACGAATCGTCTCGCACGCAGATTTGACGACTTCCAGCCTCCCGAACAAGCCGGTTTCCGAAAGAGCTTTAGCACCATAGACCACATACATACCTTCGGCAAGTTGTACAGAAGTCTGAAGAGTACAATTTGCCACTATGCCTGGCGTATGTGGACTATGAGAAAGCCTTTGATTCCGTCGAAATTTGGGCGGTGCTGCAGTCCCTTCAGCGGTGCTAAGTTGACTGTCGGTATATCGAAGTGCTGAAGTGCTTGTAAAGTAGAGCTACGATGGCTGTCAGAGTACGGAACCAGAGTACGAAACCTATCCAATTGCAGAGAGGTGTAAGACAGGGTGACGTTATATCCCCGAAACTCTTCACCGCTGCATTGGAAGACGTTTTCAAGCTTCTGGACTGGAAAGGATACGGTATTAACATCAATGGCGAGTACATCACTCACCTTCGATTTGCCGACGATATAGTCCTTATGGCAGAATCGCTGGAAGACCTAAGCACTATGCTCAATGACCACAATAGTGTCTCCCAACGGATAGACCTATCCGTTGGGAGACAATATATAAGATGAACATG